TGATATGTACTGGTAAAAATCCTTTCCCGTCTGTAGGGTTCCACTTTGTCTGGATGACAGTTTCCTTTGCCATGCAGAAGCTTCTCAGTTTGATGAGGTTCCGTTTATTAATTATTGATCTAAATGCCTATGTTAATGATTTCCTGTTCAGAAAGGCTTTTCCTGTTCCAGTGAATTCAAGGCTACTTTGCACTCTCTCTTCTATCCGTCTATCAGGTTCAGTGTATCTGGTTTTATGTTGAGGTTTGTGATCCATTTAGAGTTGAGTTTTGTTCAGGGTAATAAGTATGGATCTATTTGAATTCTTTTACATGTAGCTTCCCAGTTTGACCAGCACCATTTGTTGAAGATGCTGGCCTTTCCCAATATGTATAGCTGGCCTCTTCTGTCAAAACTCATGTGTCCATAAAATATATGGATTTATGTCTAGATCTTCAATTCTATTTCACTTATTGACATGTCTGGTTTTATGCCAATACCATGCTGTTTTTATTACTATAGCTCTGTAGTACAATGTACAATTGTGAATTGTGATATCTCCCGATGTTAGTTGTTATATCATCACATGGGAATTGTCTCCATGGATGACAAAGAACAACAGACTCAGCCTCAAAACTTTCACTTAGAAAATAGTGAAAAGATAGTACTTCATACATCAATATTATATACAGATAGTAAAAAAAAAAAAAATACTGATAATGTGTTTCAGTAGCAAACACAAAAGGAATTCCAGAAGCAACTTCTAGAGTGTTCTGGAGTCCCGGAGCCATTAGCAAGGATACAGGTTCTGGAGTCCCGGAGCCATTAGCAAGGATACAGGTTCTGGAGTCCCGGAGCCATTAGCAAGGGTACAGGTTGAACCACGAGAAGACACAGAAGAATGAAAAACAAAATTAAAGCCTGAGCTTTGTACCCAGGTTTGACTTTGTGTAAGCTTGCATAATATTTATGCTTAATTTTTTTAGGAATCTGTTTCCACACAATTGCTAAAATAACTTAGTTATTACATATAAAGTAATTTGTGCTTTATTTGAACATCATCAGCAAAATAACTTAATTTGTACAAAACTTGTCTTGCCCTCTAAGCTACTCTGTCCATTTATATAAAAACATAAGCAGACTCTTGGTCTGTATTCGTCTTCTCAATGGTAAGTAATATAGTCAAGTAATTCACTGTGATCATAGTCTTGTCATGACAGAGTTGGTAGCCTTGTGATGTGACAACACCTGGTCACAGCTGCCCTCAAGTTTTGGAGATTCCAACAGAAGTGAATCACTTTATTTGTCTTTCTCGGTTTGTGCACACTGGAAGCAAACTGGTACTGCTGGCTACTCTTCCTCTTTCCCATTCCCGTAGATACTTTCTTTCTTTCCTTCTTTTCCTGTAATAGCCCTAAGGCGAGAGGACCCATGTGCTGAGACAGGATGGAGCCCTCTGCTCACTAAAGGTGCTGGCCACCATCACCCTCTCCTTCTTGGACCAGCTCCTTATTTCATCTGCAGCCGGAACCCACTTATATCCTAAGTAATCCCTTGTCTATGAACAGAATTAAGGAAACTCCTTCTTTAAAAGGCTTTGTCTTCTAGTTTATAGTTGCCCTGTCCCACTTACATTATATAATTTTACAAGATATAGTCTGTCCTAAAATAATTACTGGTATCTACCAATCAACCATACAGGTTTCTTTTTCAATTTACCACTTGGTACTTAAGTGCCTTGACACATGTTTTGTCCCAGGCTGCTCCAAAAATGTTTAAGGTGCTGAAGATACAGTTTAGTGGCTGAGTTCTTTCTAGCTCCCATAAAGTCCTAAATTCAACCCCCAGCCCCAGTGCAAAGATTGGAGAGAGAAGAGTGGGAAGGGAAAAGGAGAAGGAGGTGTGGAGAAAGATAAAGAGGGAAAAAGCAAAACATTGGGCAACAAAGAAATTAGGTTGCTTTAAAAAAGCAGTGTCCAAGCAACTTATAAACTATTAATGCTTAAAGTTCTAACTTGAACTTGTCAGATATTTTGGAAAGAGTTTCTTCCTCACAAGTTGTTGGCTTCTTCAACCCCACCCAGTCTTGCTGAAGTACAGTAGTCAACAGTTAAAGCACTGGGAGTCAGGATGGAAAAAGCCAAAAGATACAGCATTCAGGCTGCATCTGGCAGAGTCCTGGGCAAGGAAAAGGGAGCAAGAATCCAGCCTGTACATGCTTACCAAGCACATACCCAGTGTGAGACTTTTTCACCTAAGGAAAAGGGTTCCCCATCAGTTCACACAAAGGTGTCCTGTAGGCCTAGAAAAAAGATCATGTGAGAAGTTTTGATTTTTTTTTAATCAATGCATTAAGAAACCACTAAGAGAATAAAATAACCTATACTTTGTGAAGAATGCTATATGTCATACAGAACATGGACTGGAGAACGGCCTTTGTCAGGAGAATTAGTATAGTGGAATGAGAGGCGTAGTAGAATGGGTTGAAGACTTGTTTTGTTGGGTGTCAAGGGGTAAGGAATAGCTGGGAAGATGTGCTGTGTGCAAACACAAGGAAAGTGAGGGAGAAACAGTCTTTAGGGCCATTGTGAAGATGACTACACTGTGCAGTTTACCTGGGAGTTGACCATCTAGGGGTAGGCGGTCATGAGCGTCTGCTCTTCAGCGAGTGCTCTTTCCCATCAAGGTCACTAGTAACCTTTCCCCAAACAATGTAGACATGTGTTTTGAGAGAGCCAGAATATCTCCTCTTGTTGTGTCTACACTTTGCCAGTTCTGTCCTCCAGCCAGTAAATCCTACTGATCCCAGGGCTAGTCTCTTAACTCATTATTTAATCTAAAGGGCTTCCTGTAAAGTTTGTTAGCAAACTTTCTGTGTCTTGGTATCTCAGTTTCAGGGATCCCGTGAGAAATTCAGGTTGACCTTGTTCTTTCTTAAATGACCAAAAACACAGAAACAGTCAGGGTTAACAGTCTCTTCCCAGTTTACCTGGCATTCACAACACCCCGAATAATTTACCATCTTAGCATGGGACAGTGCAGAGCTGGAACCTCTCCATTGCAGGGATCTCATCTCTGATCTCAGAAGACGAAGTCTACAGTGAGTTACTCAGTTACTCACAGGTCTCTTGTCTCTTGCTCTAGTAGGCAGAGCCAAAGCCAATAGTTAAAAGCCACATTGAGGAAGATGTTGGCTGAACTACAGGAAAAACCGCTTAATGCTCAGAAATGGAAACTCCTGCTGGGGAAGAAGTGAGTTATGGTTTTGTGAGGTGTGGGGCACTGTGGGACATCCTTCCATGTCAGTTCTGTAGCAAAGACTGCAGGGCTTGCACGTGGAGGCAGTCTCCGTGGCCTGTTGAATTCTTGCCCATGTGACAGCTTTACAGGGATGCTTTGCCTCATTTAATCCTCATAAAGGCCCCAAAGGAACTAGTTACAACCCCACCAGGAGAGCATATGGTCACAACTTAAGGTCACACAGCCAGCAAGTGTCAAGTCCATCTCAAACCGAAGTGTTTACTGTGTTTTCCACAGTTCATGGGGCATGAGAGACTGAACCAGGGGTTTCTAAAGTCCCTTCCAGCACTGTGATTCCATTGGAGTCTATGTGTGGATGTGGATGACTGCTTTCCATTCATTCTAGTCTCACTCACATTAACATGTCAGCCTGTGACTTCGTACCACACTGTGACCGGCCGTGTGACAGAGCCACTTGACACTTCAGCTGTGTTGTGTTTTCAGCTGAGCATACTCTAACCTCAGTTATGACTGAGGTTATAGTCATGGTATGGGGGTGGAGGGTGTTTGTTTTGTTTTTTATTTTGTTTTGTTTTTCAGCGTTCCTGATGAGAACTGAGTTAGCAGTGTGAATGAGTAAGCTTTTAGTCGTTTTAAGTATCTGTCATCTCTACTTAAAGTTTTCAGTTTTAGTTACTAGAATATTTGACCCAAGGTTGACTTGGAGGAGATATCTTCTAAGTTAACATTTCTAAGTTAACATTTTTTTTTAAAGTGTACCACATATCAACAACGTTTAATAGATATCTATAGGACATTCCATGCCACAAGTAGGAAATAAACATTCTTCTCAGGAATATAAAGAAGACGCTCCAAACTTACTCACAATAGAATCCACAAAGCAAGCCTTACGCTATATATAATAATTGAAATACTTCTCTGAATCATACAAAACTACAATGGAATAAAACTAGAACCACTAGCAGTGCCAATCTCAGACAATACGTAAATACCTGCAGATCAAACAATATAGTTTTAAATAATCAATATGGCATGGGGGAAAATCAAGGACAAATGTGTTTTAATTCCTAAATTAAGTGCAAATGAGAGTATAGCCTACAAAAACCTCGAGGATATAGACACATTATCTTAAAAGGAAGGTTTGTACCTCTAAATGTTTATATTTCTTAAAAATTATAAAGCTCTAAAAAATAATCTAATGTTATACATCGAGGCTCTAGAAAACTTAGAAACCAAGTCTAAATGCAACATATAGAAAAAATAAACATCATCATGGGAGAAATTAGTGAAAGAGAGACTGAAATAACAAACAGCATTATGCAGAGTTGGTTTTTTGAAAATATTAACGAGGTTGACAAATCTATAGACAAACCAAAGGAAAGAGAAGGAATGGCCAAATTAATGCAGTGAAAGACAAACAGGGAGCTGTTACAGCAGATCCCAAAGAAGTCCAGAAGATCACTGGAGAATGCTTTAATTAAAAACTTGATATTTGGCTATTTTAAAAATTAGTCTGGCCAGGCAGTGGTGGCACATGCCTTTAATCCCAGCACTTGGGAGGCAGAGACAGGTGGATTTCTGAGTTCAAGGCCAGCCTGGTCTACACAGTGAGTTCAAGGACAGCCAGGGCTACACAGGAAACCCTGTCTTGAAAAAACAACAACAACAACAACAACAACAAAAAATTAGTCTGAGAATACATTGAATGTATTTATTTCAAGGTAAAATGGCTTTGTATGTTTTACTATGCTGTTTTCCAGATTGAAGCTGAGCTCAACAAGGAAAGAGCCCGGCATCTCATTGAGTTCCAGGACCAAGCTCTTCTCTTTAAGGAGGAAGCTAAACTGGAACTTGACATTGAAAAAAAAAAACACCAGGAAATAATCCGGAAGTATCAGCAAGAACATGAGGGCCTGCAGAGGAAGGTTTGTCAGCACTGCTGGTGCTATGCCATGTGACATATGCTCAGTGACACACATAGCATGCTCCCCTCAGGCATGCTCAGTGACACAGGCTGCATGCTCCCCTCGGGCACGCCTTCCTTTCCACACGTTTGTTCTGCCCACACAGATTAATGGTTTGTTTGCTTTGCCTGTTCTTCAGAAAGGATGCTGGAGTTAAATTACAGACGCACACAGCTGAGCTCCATATGCATCTGTTTTCTACTGACATGGACTTATCTCTAAAACTGACTGCACTTCATGACTCGTAACTAGCATAGCTACATAATCCAATATCGAAAGATAATAAAGTATTTTACACAATTAAAATTTTCCTTCCTAGAGTTTAACCTTTTTGATTGAAGGTTTAAAATATCTTGAAGATATTTTAATTCTAATTAATTCTAAGCATTTCTGGATGAGGAAATATATTATAAAATGCTATAAAATTCAGAGTCCGTTGAAGTACCCCTGCTTTTTTGCTTGGTTGTTGGTTTTACTTAGGAGACATCCTCCTGCCTCAGCCTCCCAAGGGTTGGGGTTACAAATGTGTACTACCAAGCTAGGCAGGTTATTCCTGCTTTTATATGACTTAAGTGTAAAGAAGGAGGAAAGGATGGGGAGGAAGGGAGGGAGAGAGAGGCAGAGGGTAAGAGAATGAATCAAAATTCAGTGTGAATTTTGAAAAACCTCATTAAGAATCTGTGCTAGGACTACTAGGTGACTCAGCAGGTGAGGGTGCTCGCCACTGTTAAAAACCTGACATCAACCCTGGGATCCACATGGTGCAAGTAGGGAACTAGTTTCTACATGATAGTCTCTAACCTCTCCATATACACCATGATATACACGTACCTGTATACAAAGACACACACAGACACAAACACACAGACACACAGACATACACACAAACATAAACAAACACATACAGATAAATGTCACTAAAATATAATTTTTATTTTTAAATCTGTTTTAAAATCCATGTTAGAGGCTAGAGAGAGTTCTGCATTCAGAGCATTTACTCTGACAGAGGACTGAGGTTCAAACTTAAGCACCTACATCACGGCTCACAACCCCGACAACTCCAGGTCCATAGGCTCTAACCTTAAGCACACACATGCTACACATAAGAAAGAAATCTAATTAAGCATCCAACAGCCTAAGGACCTCTGTTTCTGTGTGAAGATGGAGAGTTTAGCCACTCCAGAGTCCATGATGAATAAGGAGGACCAGCCACTAGAGTCCATGACACATGCAGTTAGTACCTGGCCCCACCCAGGAGGCTCTGCAGGTGCTTCTGTCCTGAAATTCTTGATGATTTAATCTTTGAATTTTTGAATTTTTTAAGTGAATTCCTATTAAAACAATGAAGTACATGCTGGGACCTTCGTGCTTTTCCTCCCCTGATGGTCTGGTCTGTCTGGGACAGGTTCATACATCTTCCCACAGAGGTCCTGGCACCAAAGGCTCCCCAGAGTGGCCATTTCCTTTCTCCCTACAGCTCATAACTACAGTTGCCCTGAGTAGCTTGGAACTTCATGGGCAGAGAAATTTGAACAAAATAATGCCATTATTTACAAAAGTTCTAAATTCAATTTTTTTAAGTGAAATCTGATTTTTAAACGTTGACTCCTATTTTAAAATCCAAACTTATTTGTGGCTCTGTGAAGCTCCTGTCATAAGGACAGCTTGCTCTTTGTCATTGTCAGTTCTGCTCTAAGGGGAGGGAAACCATTGTTCAGACCCAAATGACCCTTTCTTCCTTCTAGACTAGTTGAAAATAGAAGAATATTAATTTCTGAAATGACTAACAGTAGTGAACAGATTTCTTCCCAAAGTTATTCCTTATGTAAATTTAACATTTGAAACAAATTTTAGATGCATACTGTTTTTAAGTACTGATCCAGAGAGCTCTGGGAACCCCTGCCTGTGGCATTTCCAGGTTTCCATGGCTTGTTTCCTACGAGAGTGTAAGTAGGGGACCTTAGGCGAGCTTCTGCAAGCCTGCTCTTCTGTTCTGCTGGTGTTTGCTTGCTGATGTTTTGTGTGTTTGCTTTTCTTTTTGTTTTTTAAAACAATAGCTCACGCTGGTCTGGCACTCACCATGAAGTCATGGCTGGCCATAGACCCACAATGGTTCTTTTGCCTTGGTTGGGATTTCAGGCATGAGCCACCAAGCTTAACTTTTTGTTTTCTAAGGAAAAAGAAAAGTCTTTTCTGTTTGGAATGGATCCTTTGGGCAGAAAGTTCCCTGAATTATTGTCTCATGTTCTTGTGTAAGGTGAGAGGAGACACCTTTGCACTGTGTCCTGGTTTTCTCTAGGACTGCCATGACGACACCACAGTGGCCACTTGCCTTTCAGTTCAGTTCACTCAAATGTAATAGTTACTTCTTCCATCATATTGGTTGAGTTGCCAATGCTATGTAGCCAGTCCTGGCTTTCCAGAGCCTACTACTATGCATGTCTCTTCCCAGCTAAGTCACCAGTCGTGGCCAATCAGCTGTCGTGGCAAAGGGATTTCACCATTAAAATTAGATACAAAGTTGACCTGAGAGAGATAGGGGTGGGTATTTTTAAACATTTACTGGCACCCCACTGTCATTACATGTAGAACAGTACAGAATGTCTGTGTTCACAAGAAGTGGGGGAGTGCAGCTATAGAAGACTGAGCTAGTGTCTGGGGTACATGTATCCATATATAAGAAAGAAAAACTGTATCCCAGGGGAATTTGGTGTTCTTATGAGAGTGGAGCACAACTGTGGCATTCTCTTTCCATGTCTCTAAAAACCCAGTCAGGCACCTGGAGATCCCAGAGCCCAGCCAAGCCCTCTCCGATCTGTTTGTGGAAACTTGAGTTAGTTTTGGCAGATAGATTCGGTCACAGAGATTTAAACATTTCCAAGGGTGCCCAAGTAGTTAATAGGAAACCATTTTAGGAAAAAAATAAATAAAAGTCTGTGTTGACTTTACAAAATATCTGAAGGCCTACATATGTCATGGCATGAAAGCACACTGATTTATTAGAAGAAACAGCAAGAGCTCTATGGTTCCCTAAAAACTGTCGTCTATATACTAACACGAGATGTATCTTACAGATAGCTGGCCTAATCGCAGATGCTACAAAAGACCTGAGGCTGGAAGTGGCCTCTCTCCAAGAAAAACTCCAGGAATCCCATGCACGATACACAGAAGAGTCTGAATCAAAGAAAAAAGAAATTGAAGACCTGAAAAATCTGGTTGCAGAATTCGAGTGTCGTTTGAAGAAGGAAACTGGCCATGATGATTCAGTTTCCGAAGAGTTGAAGAAGGAAATGAAACAGAAGTCAGATGAGCTGGAAAGAGTAAGGCTGGCCCAGACACAGCTGCTGCAGCAGTTCAGTCAGTCACAGGAAGAGGTAGGAAGCAGATAACCCCCAGTGAAGAGCCTGGCCCCTTAAAAAGCAGACAGACAGACACAAATGTGACAGGCAGTCGGAGGTCAAGGAGAGAGTCACAGCCTGGCTCCCTGGCATCCCTTAGCTTCTGTGAGGCAGTTCTCTCTTATTTTAAGTATTATTTATTCTTTAATAATCTCATACATACATACCATGTATCTCTGTTAGTCATATTCATACACACCCCTTCCCTTCTTTCAACTCGTGAATCCCCCTCAAGACCTCTTCCCAATCTGATGTTTGGTGTTTGGTTTTTAGTCAGAGTCCCATATATGCATGAGTGTGCAGCCATCTACTGGGGCCTGGTCCATCTACCCTGGGCCACTCCCTAAAGAAAACCTGACCATCTTTCCCCTAGCAGCCATTAGTTGTCAATAGTGCTTCTCAGTTAGGGGTGGGAGGCTCACGGGCCCCTCCTCTCCATGATAGACCATGGCCTGATCCTGTGTGGCTCTGTGTGGGCAGCTTCAGCCTCTGCAGTGTTCAAAAACACAAGGATCTTGTCATGTCCTGGAGAAAATCCTGTTTCTTACACCTTTTCTGTTTCCTCTTCCACCAAGTTTCGAGAACCCTGGGGGGCATTGGAATGATAGTGATGTCCCATTTTGGCCGAACCCTTTCTAGTGTCCAGTTCTGTGCAGCAAATAATCACTTAAAAGCTCCACAGCTAGGAATCTTACAGATTAGATCGTATTTGCTTTAATAGTAAATCTTTGCCAAAGAAAATTTCAGAGCACATGTTGCTTACATTAAAAAAAATATATGGACAACATAAAGATAATTTGAGTTTCATGTTTTACAGCTCTGACAACCTGACCTTGTAAGGCAGCTTACATGCTTTCATCTTCTGTCTTACATTTGCACAGTTACTTCAATACTGTCTTACTTTATTTGAGAAATTTTTATCTATGGCTTATTTATGATGAATTGCTAAGCATCTGAGAAATACTGTAACAGTTAATTGTAATACTCGATCGCACTTACAACAATATAGCGTATAGAGATAAATGAATGGTTTTGAAGCTAGTGAGAAATAAGATTTCTGTTGGCCTTATTGGCACGTTAATAAAGAAGCAAATGGAAAGTACTAGTAATAATATCATTTATTAATAATAAGCACTATATTCTTGTTATATTTAAATTTCCAACCAAAACTGAGAGCTTATATCATCATAAAGATGAACTATGGGATGGGTAAAGTGCTAAATAAGAACAATGTCTAACTTTATTTACGTGTCACAGGTGAAGAGCTAACTAATAAGCTTGGAGAGTTTCACAGGCTCACACAATGAGAGAGGCAAGACTCAAACTTGAATCTCAGGCAGACAAAGATCCCTATTCCAGGAAGACTTTTTGATTCTAAATTTCAAAGCAATCTCAGGCTTAGCCCACAATACCTCCTAGTCAAGATCACTTACTTTTACTCTAAAAGTGAACAAAACCAAAACAAATAAACACAAAACAGTAAATCCAATCCAGCTTGGGCTGGGGGAGGAGGGGACCCTAGAGGGCCAGCCAGCTATCTCATGAAGGAGGACAGGCAGGGGAGGCACACTGGAGAAACTGAGAAAGGGGAACTGCTGACTCACTTCTACTGAGTCCACACTAACACTGCTATGGAAAACATCAGGCAAAAGGAGAGGAAGGCCAAGTCACTGGACTAGCAAGTCCAAAAGAATGGCAATGTAAAATAAATAAATAAATAAATAAATAAATAAATAAATAAATAAATAAATAAGAAGTGACTCAGTCAGAGGACAAGTCGAAAATGAACAAAGTCAAATTTTTAAAAAATGCAAATTATTGTCTATGTAGGTATTGAGCACTATACTAGATAAATACTGGTATAATTTGAAAAAAATGGTAACTACTTTCTGGGAAATGTTAAAGAAATGACCTACACAGAAATTGATCACATGAAAACCTTAGACTGAAGGGTAGAGACACCCTATATTACAAGCCTATAATTTGTCACTACTTGAGACAATGACTTCAAACAATAACAATTAATAGTCTCATTTCTTTTTTGAAAGATTTATTTGCTTATATTTATGTGTACATATGTGTCTGTGTTAGTATATGTCTACAGGTGCTGGTGCACACAACTGTGCTCACCAGTGGAGATCAGAAGAGGGTGTCAGGTATCCTTGTCTGTCACTCTTAGCCTGTTTGAGATAGAATGTCTCCCTGAACCTAGGCCTGTCAGGGAGGTGTCCTCAGCTAAGCCAATAAGCTCCCATCATCCTCCTGTCTCTACCACCCACAGAGATGGAGTTACAGGTATGTGCAAGACATCTAGTTTGTTACATGAGTACTAGGGTATAACCTTAAATCCTTATGATTGTACAGAAAGCATGCCAAACCACTGAGACATCTCTCCAGCCCCTCAACATTTCTGTGGATAAGGAAACTATTATAGTTTAGCTGGCTTGCTGTGGTTCAGTATCTCTTATGAGGTTGGTGTGAGAGTGTCCAAGAGGCAGTGGTCTCAGCTAGAGGGTCAGCAGTGATAGGCTGGGCTTCTAGCTAACTAATATGAGCAAAGTTATATTAACAGGTTAATAGTCTCATGGACTATTAATAGAGAACCCATGGTTGTTGGCCCATAGCATCCCTCAATTCTGTGCCACATGAGCCTCTCCATAAAAGAACTCACATTGTCTGCTGGCTTCCCTCGAAACCAGTAGAGAAAGGGTGCCAAGACAGAACCCACAGTCCTTAGGCAACCCAGAAGTGACAGCAGCTCATAGCTTTCTTTGTATTCTGCGTATTACAAATGAGCCAGTAAGTCCAATCTACATGCATTCATGATAAGCAAATACCTAAGATGTGACTATCAGAAAAGTGGTCCTGGGCCATCAAAAGCTTCTATATGTGTTACTTTTGCTGTGATTTGTTCTATTGCTGTAGTTAAACATCATTATCACAGCAATAAAAGAATAAGTTTAGTTGACCTTACACTCCCAGAGGGCTAGCGCTTATGGTGGTGCAAGGGTATGGAGATGGTGTGATAGAAGCCATCATCAAACTCACATTCTTCCACCTGTCTACTTTGTTTCCAGAAATAACAACTCTGACACTTTTTATACATGAATAAATGTTTAAGCCAATAGCTTTGGCTCTGTTTCCCGACTAACTCGTATCTTAATTACCCATTTATTTTATTCTAAGTCCTGCCACATGGCTGGTTACCTGGTCTTCAGCTTCATATGATCTGTCTTCTTCTGTGTCTGGGATGACTCTCCACTCTGACTTAATCCCAGAATCTCCTCCTCCCTCTGTTGGATGTCCCACCTTCTAATCCTACCTCAGCTCATTGGCCAATCAGCCTTTTATTGACAACTTTTGATTTATTTCATTCAGTACAGCTGATTATCTCTATAAGATGGATGGCTGGAGCAGCAGCTGAAGGCTCAGATCTTGATCCACAAGTAGGAAGTAGAAAGAAACATTGGGAATGTGGCCAGTCTTTTGAAACCTCAAAGCCTGCCCCCAGTGACACATCTTCTCCAGGGCCACACTTCTTAGTCCTTCTCAAACAATTCCACCAACTAGAAACCAAGTATTCAAGCATGAGTCTACACTGCATCTTCTGACCATACCCTCTGGAGGCAATGTTAGCAAAACTAATAAGGAAGGGTGGATTTATTTTTAGACCAGATAGCTAAGGAGAGCTCATCTCACATGGCTCCTAGTTGTGAAAGGTATTAAGACAGATTTCTTTTTCAAAAATATGGACTTTTGGGCCTGGAGAAGTCAATGGCTCAGCAGTGAAAAGCCAAGATTGTTCTTCCAGATGACCTGGGTTCAATTCACAGCACTCAAATGTCAGCTCACAACTGCCTGTAACTCCAGTTCCAGGGGATGATGCCTCTTTGACCTTCAAGGACTCCTACACATGTAATAAGCAAATATATGCTAAAAAAAAATAAAATATGAACTTCTAAAACATAAAATGATATTAGGTTAGTATGAAAATAGTCATGGCTCATTAATAGAAGGGAGAAACTATTGTTTATAAAATAAATCCAATAAAAGTATTCAACAGGACAGTTTCCTTTAATGGCAGGGACAAGTAGACTAGGTTTTCCATCAGAGGTTATCAAAATATCACTTCAAATTAAATAATGAGAACTGAAATATAAGTAAATATTTTAGGCTATTTTTCTGGGTTAACATGCCAAAGAACAGATTATGCTTATAAAACAGGAAATGAGCCAATGAAAGTAGTAGAGTTTATGAGCAGGAAGAATGTGAGCTGTAAATAAAGTCATATGAAATGGAAAGTTCTGTGTGTTTTCATCATGTTCTTCAGACACTTTAAGTTCCTTGGATTCTGGAGAATTAAAATCTGTAATTACTTAGAGAAAGAAATCCCATTAGAATAAAGACAAGTTAGTGTTCTCCTGGCAGATTGATGCTCTTTATCCTATTCAAATTATTAGAAGTAGGTTCAGAGTTTAAGATTAAAGAGCCATCTTTAGTGTCCTGCCAAATACCAATGGAGTTGTGTTACTTCTAAAATTTACAGTGGTAGTCATTATAATTAGGAAAAAGTTTAAAGACACTTGCAGTGTATTTGGCATAATTCTAACACCTCTCTGGATGTTTTAACTTTGCATAGTGAGCTTATGAATTTAAAGAATGCTGCCCTGCTGAGTGTTGATGCAGCAGATACTGCAGATAAAATTACCCACGGCCTGAGGTCAGTTTTTCTATTTTGGTCAAGCTTCAAGAATGGCATATATAGCTTGACCATGCTATCCCTTTTTATCCTGGGAATACTTTTACTCCTACTCATCGTGTTAAAGTTTGTCTTTAACAACATCAACATGTTGGCAGCCAAAGTACACAGCTTGAAACTGAAAATGGACCCCCAGACAGAGTTATTAAATTAACAGGCTGGCAAGCCAAGGACGGGTAAGATTCTGCACAGAGCCTTACCAACCTAAGACATAAAT